GGGAAGCATATCAAGGCTCCAGCGATGACAGAGGGAGGGAGTGTGGCTGGGGCAGGCACTGCATAGCTGGGCTGGGGCATGGGGTGGAACCATGAACAGCTTGTCTGGGGAGGACCAGGGGGCGCAGCTCCCGCCACTGCATCCACCCCATATCTACGTGTGGGGTGTGTGCCCCTGGATCTGTGTGGGACAAGAGCTGCAGCCCCCCCCCGTAGTCCCCCTCCCAGGACTGCTCCCACCTGCCCCAGGCACAACCCGGCCCAGCCCCCTTCTGGGAAGTGTCCGGAGCTGCCCCAGCTCCAGCCTGCAGTAGCAGCCCACCCTTGCCTCACATGCAGATCTGGGGGCACATGCCCCCCTGCCCTCCTGGGGTGCATGCAGCAGTGGGAGCTGCCCCCGCCATGGCCCCCGGATGAGCTGCTCGCAGCTCCATCCCATGTCTTGCTCCGGCTGTGCAGCACCTACCCCTGCCCCAGCCCCACTCCCTCCCTCACCGGAGAGGTTTTGATCTGCCCCTCCCACTCCTCTTCCCTTCCTTCTTGCCCCTTCCCCCGCAACAGACTTACCAGCTAGATGCTGTTTTCCAAGTTGCCCAGCTCCCTATCAGCAATTGGATCAGTATTGGCTGATATGGCTCATTAAAAACCAACTAAGTATTGGCCCAAAAAATCTCTATTGTTGCACCCTTAATTATAACAGTAATCCTTATACATTTATTGTAATTAGGCAGACTATTAAACAGCCAACAGTTACTATGCTGTAGTGACCACTATAATATTGTCCTTATTTTAGATTAAGGAATAAATAAATGTAGGATGTCAGCTATTGAAGTGTGGTAAATGTCACACCACTGGTTAAATTTTTTTATGCAAGCCATTTTTCATTCAAATATGAAGATACAATGTAACTGAAACATTTTATAGAAACATTATGCTTTTGTTATTTTTTATTTGACAGGAAATTATTACAATCTTTCTTTTTGATGAGGCTGAAATAGTTTATTTTCACTTTATTGAAATGTCTTGCTTTAATAAGGTCAGAACATTTCATGTCAACTTTATCATGCCAAGTATTATAATAACATAAAAACCTCTTTAGTATTCTCGTTATACTCTAATATGGTCATCAAAACATCCAGACTTGTATATTAATGATATTACCTAATACTTGAAACGCAAAGTCAAAATGAAACCACTCTGACTTTATCAAAGTGTTTTTGATGTTTTAGCCATTTTTGCCTGGTAGCTGTGTGTGATGGCTTGTTCCCAAATCTTTTAAGAGGTTACACAAATGTTTGTCTAGGAGGTTTAAATAAGGATTCTCGACCTTGAGCAGGGGGTTGGACTAGAATACATTCTGTGCTCCATCCCGGCCTTAGTTTTCATTGATTCCATCAGTTTATTGGAATAAAAGGTTTTGATACAGTTGAAATGAAACATTTCCAAATATTCTCTTTCAGGGAAAAAAATCCTTGATTTCTGTTTTGTGTGAATATAAAATGTTAGTAGCTCAGAACTTCCAACAGGATTAAAGTCAGGTTTTTTAACCAGCTGACCTGTTGACTTTTCAACGACAGAATGGTTTTCTACATTATAAGTAGATCTGGTGGTACTGAGAACTTAAAAAAGCTATGTACAGAACCTTTCCAAATATTCTTGAAATCACTCAGATTTGGTGAGTGCACGCCCTTCCGAGACCAGGGTTTAAAAGAGAAGGGGCTGGTATTTAAAGGAAGCAAATCAAACATTATCTTTATGGCTGCCTAATGCTTTTAAGGACTATCTTACCTCTAGCATAACCACACAGATTTGTTTTACACACTGAATAATGGCATCTGGAGTGCCTGATATAGTGACAGCACGTTCTGTTGAGTTTGGTAACATATCCCCAGCTACTTGTACCTGGGCACCTGTGGACTTAAGAAAAACAAACAAAACCAACATTAATATCTGCAAAGTAGAGCTGTGCATTACAAGCCATTTATTCACTGATAAGAAATAATAAAATGATAAAGCAGATCCATATCTAAGCTATGCTCATCATTTGCTAGCATACACATGATAATTAGATGACACTGGGTATAAGTTTGTCTATGGAAACCACATTGGCAAGTATTTCTATGGTAAGAAGTATAGAAGCTAAAAAAATCAATTGTGCATTTTAAACCCTGTGTTAGTCTTCTAGTTTCTTGAAAAAGAGACTACTTTAGATTCATTGGGGGGGAGGGGTGCGGGGGGGAAATGAAGGACTTTTATAATCATTAAGAAAAGAATGATAAAAATAATTGCTGATATATGAAGAATATCAGCCTCCCTAATAAATCTCAGTATGGATGGCTGATTCCTTAATGAATTAATGACTGACTGCACTTTTTCTGATGAAGTTTGGGGCTGCTTTATACACTGAAAGATCTCACAATTGTGCAGTGCAACACAAGAACTCTTTTAAATCATCATTTGTGTTGATGAAGAATATGCATATCATCAGCTTTTAGCTCATTAATGAGCATAAACAGGATATAAACCATTTTTAAAAATTGGTTCTTGATGATAAAGATTCTTAGTCAAAACATGCATGCACAGAAAAAGACGTGAGGACAAACTATCCATGGTGTAACTTAAAAAAAAATTCTGGAAGAACTTTTCAATTAATGGGAAAGAGCCATGCATTTCATATTGAATTAGTACATTAATATATTATGCACAAAATCTATTTCTGATTGATTTGTGATGTACAATTTTTGCCTGTTATTGATTTTGTGACAGTCAGCAAGGAGTTAACTTAGTTTTCTTTTGGCCACACATAGCACATCTTATTCTTCTTTCCAGAGATAGATTAAATTACTCATTACAGCTTCTGTTCAGTAGTGCTGTTTAAGCTTGGAATATCAATTATGTGTCCTTTAATATGCTTTGGAATCTCACCACAATTTGATCAATCTGTCATGCCACCTTTATTTTGAAGCACCCTTGTGCCCCAGCCAGCCACGTCTGTGTCTACACGTAAAAAACTCTGCAACAGGACTTGTATTTACAAGTACTACCCTGCTGTGGAATTAATTAGTTTCCTGTAGTTTAATAGGGCTGCACATGTAGACACAAGATGTTTAGTGTGGAGCTAATTAGTCTACTCTGCAGTAAATGTCTCATGTAGATATGCCCAGTGTAACCAGGTCTGCTTATATCTTATGCTCATGAATTTTATGTTAACCAGTGATAAGAATCACAAATAATACAGAGCATGGGATGGGAACTCAGATCTCTCTGCCCACTCAGTGTTGTAAGCACTAAGCTAAACAATCCAGTGCTCTCTTGCCAGCTTCCTCATTGGTTCCAGGCTTAGCTGTACAGTGGCCCAGCTTCAATAGGAATAGAGGTGAATATCTAATACTCTAGAGCCCCGTGGTTATGGTAAGCTTCTGGTAGGTAGGAAATGTGGGTTTGAATCCCCTCAGGCTGAAGAAGAAATTGAACCTAGGCCTCCCACTTCCTGTAGATGTGCTCTACTTGACAAAAGGCAGGCAGCACCACCAGTGTTTTTGAGTGTGAGCATCCATGCCTTGTGCATTCTATAATAAATGCAGTGCTTTTGTGGTGTGCCATGTGTGTTCAGAGCATGCCTAACACATTAAGCCCCTCTATGTACGTAAGGGTTTCAAATCTGTTCTAACATCTGGGCAGGGGTTAGGCACCTCTCTGTTCACAAAGGGGTGTTTCTGTATTTGTGTAGAAGCCTAAACTAATGTGATTAGTAATCTTTGCAGTCTACAACTCTGATGCTAAATTAATTAATGAGCCTATTGAGTTCTGTGGCTGAAGTGGGTGTAGTCTGGACTGCATTTTGTAATTAAATTGTCCAAAGTATTTTTCCATCTCATTTAGGCCTAGGGTGACATTCTGTCCCCTTCCTTGTTGTCCAAGTGTCCAGATTTGGTCGTCTGCATGGAAGTTTTGGTTGTCTAAGTGCTGAAAAAGCCACTTACACAAAGCTTGGCAATCTACTCCTGGATGCAGATCCTTGTTCACATAGACAACAGAGCATGCTCAGCAATAGCCAGGGCCCATACGTATGTCCCTTGGGCATAAGTATTGGACATAGACACCCAGAAACATAGATGGGCAAAGCCCATGTGCAGTAGCAGCCATCACCCACATGAGACCCTTCTGGACAAGCAGCCACATTAGTTGTCCAGAAGTGGAGTTGGTCAATATCCATGATTACTAGACTTAGACCTGCATAAGGATAACAAGTATGACTGTCACTCTTTTGCCTTCACAATGCAGTAGTTAGGGAACTCACCTGGGAAGTGGGTTCTGGACCCCCTCTGACCTCCATGGATGCATTGCCCTGTGCATATGGGCAACTATATGCATGTGCTCAGACTGGACATACGCTACGGTAGCAAAATGAGAGAAAGCAAGCACTCCCTTCTTCCCTTGCAAAAAAGGCATAGCAACCTGTACAAAAAATAGCATACCAACCTGTGCATAAGCGTTATTTTTGGCACTTAGACGGCCATGTTGATGACCAACTCTGGACATTCAGACAATCAGGAATGAATAGAATGTCACCCTCGGTTTACCAATTTGAACTGAATTTGGCTCTTACTGTTTTAAAGGTCAAAACAATACGTTGAATTCTACCCAGTAGTGCTCAGGCAATCAGTGCAATCTGTAAAGAAATGTTTTCACTCTTTCCCAGTGCCAAACACTTTAATACAAGAGCATTTTTCAATATGAGAGAGAGAAAATATTCTGTCCAAATATTTTTCACTGAAAGACTGCATTGGAAAAAGTATTCCCGATGATCTATGCAGCTTCATAACTTTTGTGAGCAAATATTTCATTGAGGTTTTTTATTGATTTATAGTCAAGTTCAAAAACAAACAAGACAGTCTATTTTGAAACAGCATTTTAGAAAGAAAATTTTTCATCCTGATAAAAATTTCCTTATTGAAAATTCTATGACTTTCCTCTCTTTTTTTAATTTTTAAGATAGCTATACTTTGTCCTGATTAAGGACTAAACAAATGCAGAAATATTGGAGTTTTTCACAGGATGGAAATTCCTTTTTCTGAAAAAAATTCTTCATATCTAGGTACAACCCTTCCTAGAAGGGATATATTTTTTTATTTGTCTCATTTTCAAAATATTCTGCTACAGCTTTGTCTGATTTGCAGGTATTGGGTTGGTGTATTACTATATAATATTTAAAATTGATATTGCACAACTATCTTGGCATTTTGTGGTTAGAGGAAAGTTCGTTACTGCATAGTATATTTAATGTTGAGTGGATGTCCCAAGAATGAGATTTGATTTTAAAATGTTTATATTAGTTTCCCAGGGTGAGTATATGTGAAATTAAGCTACTTGCGAAATTGTAAGATTAGAGCTAGGGTGAACTGGAAGAGTGTGGGAATACAGGTTAGGAAACCAACTGAAGAATAAAAAGATGTGTCAAATTTTGGGCCTAATAACCTTGACAAGTGTCCCTTTTTGCTACTTGGTGCTTTCTGGCTAAAGAGGTTGTGACTGAAATGTGTAGATTTGGAAATGATAAGCAACACTTCAGACACGGATCTTTTGAGGTATTTCTGGATTTTTTTTAACACCTAGAAAGAAACTTGAAGAAACAATTCTTCTGTTAAACTAGCCCTTTGCAACATGGCATCTTGTTTTCTTTCTTCTCCTAAAATGGATCTGTTCCCTAAGCATTCATTACTTTGTAAAGAGTTAACTGTACCACGGAACACACAATTCTATTTACATTTCACTGTATATCCTTCGGTTTCATGAAGGCAGGAGATTATAGATGTGTTTGTCTCCTTGTTGTCATTCACTGATTTTTTTCCCCCTGAGCATTATATTCATCAAATACTTTTATTAATACAATGTAATAACTTTCTGTGTAGATACACGACACATTTACTTCAGGGTAATTTACCCAGGATTTTACTCCCCAGTGAAATCTCTGTAGTAAGAGTCTACACCATATTCTGTAGTAAGGAGAAAACACTCAACAAACCCAGCCAAGTTGACTGCTAGAAGTAGGAGCTGTGACTTGCTAGCATGTGGTAGGGGAATAGGTTTGCATTGGGCATGTGGCTCTTAGAGGGTATGTCTACACATGCATAGTAATACAATGCAATAAACTCTGGTGCTTATCATGCCAGTTTATTGCTCCTGGGCACTGCATTTACATATGCATATTTACCTAGCACATTGAACTGGGTTGGAACAGCTCTGGCTGTCAGGAGGCCTGGGGAGTCAGCCTGCAAGCCCAGGGCTGCTCTGACCCCCTCAATGCGCTGAGAAGGGGCTGGCTGGGACACAAAGGTGCTCTAGTAAAGAGCTAGTTGGCTGGTAGCCCCCACACTGAAGCATCCTTGTGCCCCAGCAAGCTGCATCAGTGTCTATACATGCGCTTTTGCGGAGTAAAAAGCTCTGCAACAGAGTAGTACTTATATTTACAAGTACTACCTTGCTGCAAAGTTAATTAGTTCACTAATAGCCCTGCACATGTAGATGCCAAGATGTTTACTGCAGAGCTAATTAGACTACTCAATTGGTAAACATCTCATGTATATGCACTGAGAGCAAAGCTGATGGTGGTATGGGACACAACATGTACCCTAGAACGGTAGTCTCCAAAGTGGTGCGCAAAACGATCCATTGGGGTGCAGGAAGAAAATATTAGAACTTCTATTTATATTTATATTTATATTTATATGAATATATATATTAGGGGTGCGTGCTCAAAAATTTTTTACTGATAGAGGTGCGCGATCAAAAACGTTTGGAGACCACTGCACTAGAATAATGTTCTCTGGAATAAATTTACTTTCAATTTCCTCATATTCTTGAGTAACTGGGACATGTGTTTGTATTCCTAAAACACCCTCTTTAAATAGCTACATTGGGACATGGAGCCACACACAGTTACTTAGCATGCTCACCCAGAGTCTGACAACTTACCTCCCTGATTTCTTTGATTTTGGAGCCACCTTTCCCTATAAGGGACCCACACTGACTTGCAGGGACAACAAGCCGCAGCGTCACAGGTGGTTTGCTTGTCACTGTGCTGTTTGTCATTGAAGCATTTATGTCCTGTAATGACAATGTCAAGAAGAATTAGCAGAGGATTTGTTATTCCTCTTAAGTATTAAGAGACTCATGGTAAATACTTAAGCTGTGCTCAGAGAAGTGGTGAGCTTGAAACTAATCATGTTTTGTATCAAATAAGGCAGGCAGCTCTGATGCTGACACACCAGAAGTCTGAACTTCATGAGAAAACTGTGGCAGTGGAGCACTCCTGATAGCACATACTACAAGATGTCGGCACAAACACCGTGTCTAATTAGCTACTGAAGCACATTGTGCTTCCTAGCACTTTTAATGCAAAGGGACAGGTTAGAAAGGAAACCACAAAGAAGCAACGAAAAACATTAAGCAACAAACATGACAGAACTAGAATTATCCATTATTTGGATAAATGTTTTGGTGCTTCTGAGATTTAACTCCCATTTTGCTGCCAGGTTTTAAGCATTTTCAGTGCTACTTAATATTTTGTAAATTATTTCCTGTCAGATCTATCACCCAAGTATTCAGTTGCAGTTAGTCTTAACAATTGTCTGCAGATCCCCAACTACCCCTTCAGCTAATCTAATCTAATCAGTGAGATTACACTGTATCCTTCAATGAGCATCTCAGTGCTTTACCAGTTGCTATAGCTTCACATGTGTGTCAAATGTGCTTTGCTAGTTCAAACTCACTTGCAGCCGCAAAACTGTCTCCCTCCTGTATTTTCCTTACAAATTAAATCATAACTCTCATCTTCTTGGTGTACAAATGGGATACTAATGCGAGAATTTCAAAATCCTGGAGACTGTGTAAGAAGCCATACAAGTTACTTCAGATTTTTGTAATATCTTTCATCAGAAAATTGCAACATGCACCATCAAGAATATTAGGTGTGAGATTGGTGAGGCGATAGTGTCACTCTACTAGGTGCTGGTTAGGCCTCATCTAGAATATTGTGTGTGGTCCTGTGCCCCACTGAAGCATAGGAAAGTTAGAGAGGGTCCAAAGGTGAGTGACAACAATGATAATGTCCATGGAAGGCAAGTCAAATGAGGAAAAAGTGAGAGAAATAAGCATGTTCATCTTACAGAAAAAGGCAGTTAAGAGGGGACATAACAGCAGTTTCCAAATATCTGAAGGGCTGCTATAAAGAAAACCTTTTCTACCTCACTGCAGACAGGATATGTAGCAATGGTTTAAAATTGCAGCAAAGTATGTTTTGACTGGATATGAGGAGAAACTTCATTGCTAGAAGTGGGAAACAGTGGAATACACTGCCTAGGGAAATTGCGTAATTTCCTTCACTGGACATTTTCAAGAAGATGTTGGACACTCATTAATCAGAGATAATTTAGGAGTAGTAATGCTTGGCGTATACTGTGAAGAGCAACAGCTGGAAGAGCAACAGCTGGAAGCCCAGGAGACCCTCACACACGCATGCATCTCTTGGAGATCATGAGAAGAATTCTGCTGTAGACTGGAGGGTATTTGGTTCCTCCCAGATGTTTTTGCTGCTGCTTGGGGCCAGGAAGGATTTTTTTTTGCTTCCTATTGATATGGGCAAAGTTTTTTTTTCTCAGACACATTAGGTGCCCCCTGGGGTTGCCCAGGCAGTCTTCCCTCCTCTTGCATGTGTACAGCGTGATGCTATTAAGCCACAAAAAGTGACATTTTCATCATGTGTCCATGGCAATGGTGTCACATGTACAAGCGCCCTAGGTGTTGGCTGCAGGCAAGGCTGGAGTTTTTGACTGGGGTGTACCAATGGTCCTGCTGGGACTTAGAAAAACAGAGGTTCCTGGCTACAGGGTCTTGCTCATCCAGGGTCAGACTGACAACCTATTTGGGATTAAAAGGAATTTTACTGCATGCTCAGACTGACATGGACTGTGCAGTGTTTTGCCTTCCTCTGTAGTAGGGAGGTCTTCTTTGGAGCTCTCAGCAATCTGCTTCCTCTTCTTGTAGTGCAAGATACTTACAGTGCCCTCATCCCCCTGCTTTAGTTGTGGCAAGTCTGGGTATTTTTTGATGTTGTCAGGAATTGTGTCTGATAGTTGTGCAAGGAAGTTGTTTGGACAGTTTTAGAATAGGTTAGACAAACATTAGCCTATGTTTGCCTAGGATGGTTTAGACAGGAGTGATCCTCGCTTGATTGAGTTATTGGATGCCACAGCCCTTTCCATCCCTAATTTTCTGATTCTATGCTCTTCCAAACATTAACTAGTTAAGGCACCCCACCCCTGCAAATTAAAGGATTACTTCACCCATCTTTAAGGTGGAATACAGTTGCTGCAGTACTTAAAAACAGTGCACCAGAGCTTAGGACAGTGGGTCAAGAAAAGCATCAGGACTAATTAGAATAGAAGGAAGAATTTAAATGGGTATTGTAATTTCCCAGAATGTAATTTGCCCAGGAACACCAGGATTAATACTCCCCTGTCCATTGAAATGTCCTGGGATCTTAATGACCATGAGTGATGTGAATGAACCTGAGTTGGCTTCGGTATTGGTGCTGCTGTTTCTAACACCTGTACCCAGTTTTGACACCAGTATCTTTGCTTTGCTAAGACGTATCAGGTGTCAGTGTCTGACAGGGCAGCCACCAAGAAAGGAGAAATTAGTGATGGGATATGCAAGTGTATTCTAAGTGTAACTTAGATTTATTTATACACAGGTGGTAAAACAGCATGCTAACTCCTTCCTATGGGACTCACAATCCAAAATCAAATCCTGGTCCTCAGGAAGCTACTTTGCCTCATAAATTTACTCTGATAAGAAACCAAGACAGAGAAAGAAAACTCATCTTCTCCCACAGATTCATCTCCACAAGCCACCTTGAGATCATGATCCCACAAGCTGCTCTATGAAGGTGAACATTTGTGCCTGTGAAGTGGAGCCTATGGAGTGATGCCTGATGACAGCAGCCCCTCTGTGGAGGTGCCAATTCTTGCCAGGCATGGCCTTTGCAATCTAGGGCACTGTGAATTTTACTGTTGTAACAACATTTCAACCAAGTGCAACATTTTACAGAAGCAAAAGCATCAGATAAAATGCACAATTCATGGTCAGTCTATCATGCAAGGTAGTTTTACTTAGCAAGTCCTATTTTAGGTCAGGGCCCAGCAAACATAATAAGAAGATCTGCAGCTGGTCTGTGACAATATAAATGGCTAAGGATTGGCCTCGGGGTATAATAGCAGTTTAAAACCTGATAAGAAAGCCAGTGAAGTAATTTATTTGCTAAATATAACAGCGTATTTGGAATACTATATCCGGCTGGGGTTTTTTTGCTCATGAATCTGGGCAAGTGTTCTGCATATATTTGCAAATATTCACTCATTTCACACAGTTTTTAGTACTTCCTGCTCTGTAAACTTGCTGTGTGCACAAGCCCTAAAACATGTATTCCACCTCTAACTTCAATGGCTGATGTTGATGTTTTGCTGTTTCTTTTACATCCCACCTGCCCCTCAAGTTAAAAGTGAATATTTTGTGTATGTCAGTGGTCAGTCCTCTGGCCCTGCAGGCCAGGTGAGTAGTGAAGGTCTGGGCCTCAGGCCAGATTGGGCCCCATGCCAGTCCTGTGTCCCAGTATCCTGCTCCACTCCAGGCACTGAAATTGAGCCCCAGAGCACTGCTCCTGCCCCGCCCTGCATGGGTGACTGATGCCTCGTGAGTCTGACCCCTGCACCAGATCACTGATGGGGGGCAGGGGTCCCCCAGTGGCTGATCACCGAGCCCTGAACCACTAGTGGCAAATCTGGTGGAACCGAAAGTACACTTCTGCCGGCGCTTCCAGTTTTGCAGCTGGCATTTCCAGGGGGTGTGCGGCCAATCTTAGGAGGTGCACATGCACCCACATGCACCCCCTACACATCGCCAATGCCACCCTGCACACCAGGATTGGGGCCCTGGGCTGCCCACATGTATGGGGATATAGCCCTTGGGCCCCACACTGTCCCCTGCCTGCTAGGATTGAGGCCCATGTGCTGAAATTGGGCCCTGTGGCACCCTAAATGCCTGATCCACCATGTGGCTAAGGTCACACTATCCAGCATACAGGGCTCCCCATGGGTCCAAAAATTTAGCAGGAGGGAAGTGCTGTCACTGCTCCCTCACTGCCAAATCTTCAGACCCATGGGGAGCCCCAGAGACGGGTTGACCCAGCAGCAGGGGCTGGATCTGGCCTGCAGGCCAGGGGTTGATCTCCTCTAGTGGGTGGGATCCAAACTCAGCTATGCTTGTGATCATATAATCTCATCAGCAACCTCCTAGAAATTAATGTGCAGAGATACTGTGAAAGCAAATGGGTATTAGGTAGGAAACAACAGTATAGAAAAGTCCATTTTAAATGTATGTTTTTACCGGGCTGTACATTTTGATTATTTGCTGGCATTAGAAAAGTTGGGTTGTTTGTGACCTCCCAGGTCTTTCCAAGACAGTTGTATACCTTTAGCACTGAAATGAGGATTTCACACTATGTCAAAAACAAAAAACAGCCCTGTACTAGTATTCACGGCAGCACCCTCATGTCATTGTAGAACTGTTAGTGCATCTCACTGTGTTAGACAGAACTTCCTGATGATAGTCTGTACAAAGAGGGTGAAGCACTGTAATTTATAATTTGTTCTGACTGAAACCATCAGTTGGCTGAGGCTGTGAGCATTAAGAAAAGGGCATTGTTTGAGTTGCACTGATCAAGATAGTAGCTACTTGGGCATAGTTTTGGATAACTCAGTAAGGGATGGATACATACAAGAAATTCCTGCAAAGGCTGTCTTCAAACCTATAACATGGTGAATAGATACTGAACATTTAAAGCAGCCAGGTTTAGATCCTGGGTCAACTCAAATCCAACTCAATACCTGCTAAAGTTAATGGAGCTGCAGAATCTAAGCTCTTTGAAAAAGAGAGAGCGAGAGAGAGAGCCCATCTTTCTATTACGTATTTCTGAAGCACCTAACACATGGGTCTTGTTCATCATTGTGGCTTCCAGATACTACCACAATGAAAATCCTAAATTATTA